CCCAACACAAACTTCAAAGAAGACAGCAGGTGGCGCTGCTGCCTCATAGAGAAACAGCCAGGCGGTGCAATGCTGTGACCACGTGGAAACACAGTATGCTTGCTTTGGGGGAAATTTCCAAACACAAACATTTTTATCCCTTTCCACGGGGCACCAACGAAGCACCGTAAACCCTGGACATAGTAGGATGTGTGGTCTGTGCCTTCCCACTGCTGTGATATCGCTAGTTTAATAAGATGCTCAGAGAGGCTTTGTCACCACTGCCCAACTGCAAAGTTTCTCCGTGCATTGCCATCCTGCTGATACAAAGCATTGTGGAAAATAAGCCGTGGGTGTGGCCTACACCTGGCCCAAGCGACTTCATCCACTCTGGTTAGGCTCACGCTTTTCCGTGTCCCCAGAAGAGAGCCTACACTGTAAGAGTTGGAGGGGGCACCTTGGTGACTGTGTTCACATCGAGGTCTTGAACAGTGCCAGCTTTCTGCTTTATCTCAGGTGGCCCTGGCCTTGGTGATGTCATCTCTTCAGGATGTGGACACAAATCCCGCCCTCCCCCCCCACACACACACACCAGTATCCTAGTGCTAGAAAAAGCTGGAAACAGTGCACTTGTCTGTCAACCCATGATGACAGGGGTGTGTCAGCCACTGAATCTAGTCCAGTCCAATGGCAGATACAGAGTAGGTGCTCAGTGTCTCTTGAATGAATGAGTCTGTGGTGGCTTTTTCGTTATCCTTCTGTTCGTTTATGCCAATGCTATTTTATACTTGCAAACAGTTGTCTCCCTCTTCTTCTGCCCATCCCCAAACACGTAATATAATTGTTAGAGGCACATGATTTGGCTTGGTCCTACAATAAGTTGGTGTCCCGCTGTGAATGGACATGGCCTTTTCCTGACTGTCCAGCCTATTGGACACACCACTTGCCCAGCAGAGCTCTGCTCCAGGGTGTGCCTGCAGGAAACACCAAACAAGGGTCGTTCTCCTTAAAATAGTCTAGAACCCTGAGATGCTGATGCCCAGGGGATGCGAGAAACAGAGCAGGGAGGCACAGCCACACGTGCCAACTCAGCTGGCCTCTCTCACCCTAAGCTTCAACTTTTGTTTGATTTCTTCACCACTGGACAAAGGGGACCCAAGGGAGCTCTCATGAGGGGCCATGATGTAAACCCATGAAAGCTAAGTCCATTGTCCTAAAGAGGAGGTGAATGTCAGGGGTCTAAACTGGGGCTGCTGTGCCAGTCTCCCCACCCCATCTGCATGAACTCCCACAGCTTGAAGGTATGAAGGGGTGTGAGAGGAGCTGTGTTTAGAGACCCCAGGCCCCTATGTGGCCCCCATCCATTGCCATCTCTTCAGCAGAAGCTGGCAGCCAGCAGAGGCTGAATCATGAACCACCCTCTTTTTTTTCACTAGGCCTGGTGGCTGGAGGAAAATGGGTATTCTATAGCCATGTAACACAATAGTTAGGGACATGGGCTTTGGGGTCAGACAATCCTGGGTCTGAGTTTCAGTTCTGCCTCTTACCAGCAGTGTCTGGAACAGTCCCCTAACCTGTCCTAACTCCGTTTTTGCATCTAGTACACAGGAGTAGTAATAGGACCTACCTGAAGCCTGCTGGGGTGACCTGAGATGGTGTGTGTGAAGAGGGCTTGCCACTGGCCAGCATGTGGTATGCCTCATAAACATGAGCTGCATGTGTCTGCATGCTGGGCTCCACAGTCTCTCAAACAGCTACTTTTTAGACTCATAAGCGGCCCTGGGTTGCTGGGCGGGAGGGGGCAGCAGAGGCCACACTGAGAGGCCTTCCCGATGTTTTCTTGGGAGCCCAGTGAACACTGTAGGAGAGACTCTAAACTTGAGCGCTCACCACGACCACTTGGAAATCCGTGAAGACTGGGGATTCCTGGGAACCCCCTCCACAGATTCTAATCCAGTGGCTCTAGGCACCCTGCCCCATTCCGAAATCTGCAGTTTCAGCAGACCCCCAAGTATTTCTGTTGAGGGTGATTCCAGGGTGGCAGTCTGAAAACCGCCATCAGAAGTGAAGCCACCATCAGAAAGCTCAGGGACCTTCTGACCTGGAGGTTAGGAGATCTGGGGACAGACCCATGTCGGAGCCCCAGGCCCAACCCCACTGTCAAAATTCCATCTCTTGAGCCAAATGATATGTCATCCTCATCCCTGGGAAGGGAAAGAGCATGCAAGTGAGTCATACCAGAAGATGGGGAGTTCAGGCATACACAAACGGGGTGCTCAGCGGAAATTCCTGAGCAAGAGACTGTAAAATATGGATTCTGGCACCTCCTATGCCACCCACCCCATCTGCTCACATCTACACACCACCAGGTGTCTCTGGGAGGAAAGTGAGACATGGCTACTCCTATGGGTGCCACCGCCCACCCCCCACCCCCCACCCCCACACACACACCCATAGGTCTGGGAAAACAATATTATTAGAGATGAGAAAACCCAGGCTCCAACGTGACTTGGGTGGTTGTGGTCAGGTGGTGGCAGAGCCTGGACTCTAGCTGCACCTTTCCACCACCTACGGAGAGCTGCCTGTTCCTGGACCCCTTGCGGGCAGGTAACCAGGCATTCGTGTACCATCACCCCCCCACCCTTACCGTCCCTGGCATTCCAGTCCCAAAGGGGAAAAGCACTGGGACACAGTGGACCTCCGTGGGCCATACACTTTCCCATCAGAAGTGCACACCCTGAGCACCTTCCAGCCACCCGGCGCTTCGGGATTGACGTGGCCTTAGGAGAGAGCTCCAGAGGCCTCCTGGGCTTTAGTTTTCGTCGGCCCAGGGCTAGGGAGCCCAGAGGCAGCGCCAAGGCGCTTCAAGCTGCTGCCAGCGGGGGTGCAATGGGGTGCTGCTGAGTCTCGGGTGCGCCCAGGGCATCAGTCTGCGCTAGAAATGCGGCGTCTGCGGGACTTGTGATCCACGCACGAACAGAAACCCTGTCGCGTGCATTCTTGCCACTTCCTTGCCTCTGTGCCTTTTATTATTTGGGGAATTACATACATTTAGGGCATGTCATGGACTTCACTGTTCCAAGACAAACCCCCTAAAGGTATGCGCAAAATTTTGAATTAATTCTATCGAGGATGCCACTATGCTAGAACGGTTCCCGTTACGCACGCAGGGCGAGTGATTTTGCACCAGACTCAGGAGGGCCTTTACATTTTAAGCGCGTAACTTGCACTTGACGGGCACGCTTTTATCATGGCTCACGGCGGTGGGAGCTTGACGCCCCGAGGCCCCTGTGTCCCCCACCCAATCAAGTATGGTCTCCGTGAAGCAACGGCGGCGGCGGCGGCGGCGGTGTGAAATCTCGGACGTCAGTGTGGAGGCAATTTTGCCTGCGGAATCTGGTCCTTTCGGCTTTGCCTGGAGCCAAGCTCCCCTCGCTGGGAAAACTGAACTTTTCTGTCATCCCCAGGCCCCAGGTCAAGCCCGGAGACAGCAGCCAAGCCCATCCCAGGGCTCCCCGGGCCGGTTTTCCTGCAACCCTGGATGTGGGTGCGCTGGGGAATACTGCAGAAATGCAGGCGCCACCAGGGAGATGAACACCGGCCGGGGTTCGCCGCCGTCCGGGACTCGGGTACAGCAGCGACGCCAAAGCCACGCACAATCGCGGCGCACTGAGGCCTCTGGCGCGCCAAGGGGCCAAGTGAAGAGGACCAGAGAGCTGGAGACGCTGCACAAGGAGACCGGGGAGCGCGCCGGCTGGGCTGGCATTGAGTTTCTCCTAATCAGCCCCATTTCCCCGGAGCCTCTGACCTAATTGGGGCGCAGTCTCGGACAGAGGGAGGAAGAGGCCCGCTCTTGCCTGCGGAGGTTGTCTGGGTGAGGGCGAGCGCATATTCCCGCGCTGGAGGCCTGGGGCGTTTTTTTTCTGGCCTTGTTTTCCTGGGCACCGGTGGGAGGCGGCGGATGCCGAGAGGTGGCCTTGCCTAACGAGCACAGTACCTTCTCCATCCGCTCAGAACCTACTCCCGGAGCGCCCAGCCAGGCGCGTGCGGGCGACAGCGCGCTTCGTCCAGCAGACCCTGGCCCGTTGCTTCGACCCGCCGGAGACCCCGAGGGACGGAGTCGCCGTCCTTTTCCTGTCCATTTTATCTCGGTTTTATAGACAGCTGTTAGTTTGGGACATTAATTGCCCGGGGGAGTTTATTGATAATTTTGATGTAACAGAGCACCGGAGAAATTACCCTCCCGTCCAAAATGTCAAATTTGAGAAGAACCAGGTTCAGAGAAACTGCGGTGGGTCTTGAACGGCCGCACCAACAATGCGACTTTATTGTGTTCGTTTTTCCCAAATAGCGCGGAATGGGAATAGAAAGAGGGTGATCAGCAGTAGATACAGGTTTTTAAAGAATTTTCTTGCCCCTAAAGATGTAGAGGGAAATGTTGCCTCCAGGTTTGGAAACGTGCCTATCACCTTGCTCTCCCACCAACAGCTTTTTTTTGCACAAATTTTACTCACTCCTTGATCAGGGAAAACCAAGTGTAGAGCACCCCTCTTAAAAAAAAGAAACTACAAAAACTTAGAATTTTTTCATGCTTTATAACAGATAGACCTTTGGAACAGTAAAGTCAGAAACTAAAACTCTCATTTGTTTTGGAGTGGGGAAAAAGGAAAAATATAATTTATATATATATATATATATATTTACATATATATCGTCTTCCCTGGGAGAAGGAGGACTATAGTTTTTCTTTAAACGTTTGATTATTTCTTTAAAAAGAGAAATGACATTTAGAGGGGCAGAGGGCTCTTCTTAAAAAACAGTAGCCAAGAAAAATAGTTACTCATGTCCAGATTTCACTTCAATGTGAAATGAAGAGTGAAAAGAGGAGGATTAGCCAAACAAATGAAAATGAAAAAAGGTATTTAGAATCACCCATATTTTAAATACAAGAAAAAAGGCTAGCTATCCCAAGCGGGTTTCTGTCTGTATTTGGGGGTTTGGAAGATATTCTGCAATCCCAATAAAATACTCATGCGATTTTATTTCTAGTTGATACAATGTTAAGGCCATATACAAATGTTATACATTTTTATTTTTGTTCTTTTTTTGGAAAAAAAAATACACAAAAGGCAAAACATCCTCAAATTGTCATTTTATACAGTGCAGAAGGAAATTTAAAATACGTGTCACAAACGCTGCACTCCAGCAGCCAAAATACTAGAAAAAAGGAGGATAGTCCTTCATTTTATATATATATTTATATAAAACATATGGAAATTTGTTTCGGACTTTGTTTCAAATTTACAATGGATAGCTAAAAAAAAATTCTACGCGGCAAATATTGCCAACAAAGTTACACCATTAATACTGATAAACGGAGGAGCCTATGCGGTGTTTCGGTTATTAGGGAAAGAAAGAATAAATAACAGGATGAGCCTTGCTATAGTTTAAAAAAGTGCCTTAACCTTTCTGCGTCACCGCAATCCTGAATTGGCGCGCTCACCAGGCCTTCCCAGTCCCCGCGTCGCGCTGTGTTCGCCTTGCTCTCGCACAAGAAAGTTTACAGTAGAGGTCAGGAAACGGCCGGGTCTCGTGAGAAAAACAGCCACCCAAAACTGTCCAAATAAAATTCGAAACAAAACCAAAAGGACTGAAGAGAAGGAAGAAGAGGAAGGCGGCGAGGGGGGATGGTGGAGGCCGGGAGAGCCGCCTGCTTCTGGGCTCCATCTAGTTTCTTTTTTTTAAGACGAACAGTGGCTTCAGAAATGCAAGTTGTCCGCACAAAGATCCACCTGTGGTTGATGGAGGACTTCTGAGGTCGGGAGGGAGAACGCGACTTCGTGCTCCCCCTTCCCTGCAAAAGACAGCTCTAACAAGAGACTTGCGCATTCCAAGACATTCTTTCCAAAAAAAAAATTAAAAATTAAAAATAAAAAGATAAATACTCAACCCAAAAATAAAAGTATTTGATAATGATGGTCTCATGTGTTTGCCTTTCTTCTTCTTCTAAAAAAAAAATCTCCCCCCACTTTTTCCACTGGAGGGAAAGAGAGGGGAGAGACCTCAGCAGAATTTTTGTTTAGATGTTGAGGGTTTTCCCCCCAACACAGCACCTTCTCAGCCGGTTTCGATTGGATCAAACATAGATATTTATTTACCAACAGTTGCAGTCATATCAGGCCCTACCGCCACCATTTTAAAAAATTATTTTGAGGGAGCAGGGGAGGAGGTGCCAACCACCGCGCCCCACCGCGCTGTGTCTCTGCCATGGGGATTCCTTTCCAAATAATCCGACTGGGGAGGAGTCAAACCCTTTTCTTCTGCCAATGGTTATACCTCGAGAATAAAGCAGTTTCTTGCGTTGGGTTCCGGGGTCCCTGTGCCACATGGCCCATGCCCAGGGGCGCCGTGGGCTCCGGCCTCACATCACGCAAGGCTTGATGTCTTGGTAGGTGACCTGCTGGTGGTAGTAGGAGCCGCCGCCAGCGGAGTGCATGGACGAGGACGCCATGGTGTTGAAAGAGAAGACAAACTCCTTTCGGTCACACATGCTGGGCGACTGTGAGTGATACCGAGGGATGCCTGCGGCGGAGGTGACAGGAAGGGAGAAGTCAAGAGTCAGTGCCAGGGGTTCAGAGTTCAAGGTAGAGATGCAGGGCTGCCCACTGCCCGCGGGGGCACGGGGGCCCTCCCTTCCCCACGTGCCGCCAGGCCAGCCGCACCCAGACTCCCCGCCGAGTTCCCGACGCTAGGTTGGGCCAAGCTGTGTGCCCCTAAGGGAAGATCGCAGGACAGGGGCAGCCATCCCTGGTCCCAGGAGAACCCACCGCCTGGGCCTCGCCAACCTTGGACACTGAGCCCGGGACCGGGGGGTTTCCAGATGCCCATGAGGAAGGGGTGAGGGTGGCCGAGATGGGCCAGGAGACGGCCAGAGAAGGCCCTAGTAGCCTCCACCTCCTGGACAGCCGCAGCCTGGCGCCGGGGGAGCCGCTTCCCAACACCAAAGGCTTTGGAGGCCTCAGTGCGTTGAGAGGCAGGCGCAGGCCATAACAGGGGCGAAGGGTGGCTTCTCCAGAGGAAGTGCCCCTTGGAGAGCAGGGCACCTGGGGCAGCTGGAGCCCAGGAGTTTGAAGCAGCCCAAGCACGGTGACCCCCGACTCCCACAGAGAGGCAGCCTTCCAGCCTGCAGGCCGGCCGGAGCTCCTGCCTCCGTAGGCTGCTGACAGCTGACCCCTGACAGGCCCCTGCTTAGCTAACTCCATGCTCTTTCCAGAATTTGGCCCAGAAGGCTTCTGGTGGGTGCTGAGATGGGGAGTTCAGGAGAGGAGCTTGTGCTGTCTCTCCTTTCTCAGCAGGTTGGGGAGGGGATACCTGGGGACCTGAAAACCTGGATCCTGAGAAACAAAGAGTCTGTGAGGCCTGCAACTCTGACCCTTGTTCTGGGCCTGGCCACAGCCCCTCTCTGCCTCTGTCACCACAAAATGCCCCCGCCTCAACGTTCGCATGGCCAAGACTGGTTCCCTAAAGGGCTGGGGCGCTGAGCCTCTGAGCACCAGGCCCAGGAGGCTTTGGGCCTAACTCTTCCGTTCTGCCCAGGCAAGGAGCAGAGGCGGCTCTTTCGGTAGCTTTCTGAGTGACCACCCCAGGAGGGTGAGCCAGCTGGCCAGGGCTTGGCCCCAGCTCAATCCTGGGAACTTGCTGAGGCATGAGGGGGCCTAAGGGACCAGAAAGGTCTTAGAATATTTGGGTCTGAGTCTTTTTGGTGGGGACAGGGCCTACCTGGCCAGGCTCTGGGCATCCAACAGCCTGGAATTAGAACAGAAAAAGAGAAACAACAACATATTGGCCCAAATTGGGAAACCAAGCTGCACTCACCCCTCAAACAGGGATAGGTGGGGCTGAGAGACACAGCAGTATTAGGATGGGCACCCCGTAGAAGTGGCTGTAGGCTCTTGCCCAGGGCGGTCGGCAATTTGGGGGGCTGGGTCGGGTGCCGCGGACTCACAAATGTCCGACTTCCCCAGGACTAGAACCACCGCAGTCCACCTTCCCCCACTCACCTTGCAGCTCAGCTGGGGCGTTGTGGCTGTTCTGGTGCAGATAGGGCTGGTCCAGGGAGTGCGTGGAGAGGCTGCCGGACAGGGGGTTGGCCGCGGGATTGCAGGGGGACAGGGGCTGCTGTTTGATGTAGGAGGCGCCGCTGTTGAGCGCGGCGGAGGCCGAGGGTGGCCAAGCGGCTGCGGAGCCCGAGTAGACGGCGTGCGGCTCCATGACCCCACCGGCGGCAGGCAGCAGCGGGGAGGCGGGCACCGAGCTGTCGTGGTGCGGGTAGTCGCCCGCCGCCGCACTGCCGCAGCTGCCCATGTACGAGTGGCCGCCGTTGGCGGGCAGGTGGGGCACCGAGTGGCTGGGCAAAGCCATGCCGTCCACGTTGCCCGGCAAGTGGCCATTCATCATGCCCAGGCCGCCTTCGAGCGCCAGGCTGTTGGGCGGGCACGAGAGGCCGCCGGCTGAGCTCTGGAAGCCATAGGTGTCCGGGAGGTGGTTGAAGCCCAGCCCGTTCATCATGCTGTACATGGGCTTGAGCGCCTGGCATTTCCTTCGGAAGCCGCGCGGCCGCCGCCGAAAGGAACCCTCCTCGAACATGAACTCGCTGGCCGGGTCGATGGTCCAGTAGTGGCCCTTGCCCGGCCGCCCGAGGCCCTTGGGCAGCTTGATGAAGCACTCGTTGAGCGAGAGGTTGTGGCGCACCGAGTTCTTCCAGCCCTGGTAGGAGCCGCGGAAGAACGGGAAGCGGCTCTGCAGAAACTGGTAGATCTCGCTGAGCGTCAGGCGCTTGGTGGGCGAGCTCTGGATGGCCATGACGATGAGCGCGATGTACGAGTACGGCGGCTTCTCCGGGCGCCGGATGCCGGCGTTCGTCTTCTTGGCCTTGGACGGGCCGGACGACGCGGGGTCCATGGCCGCGCCGCCTCCCCCGCCGCCGCCGCCGCCGCCGCCAACGCCGCCGCCGTGCGGTGGCTGCTGTTTCTCGGGCGCCGAAGACATCGGGTGGCTGCTGCCGCCGCCGCTGCCGCCGCTGCTCTGCGCCGCGGACGAGCGGGGAGGAGGAGGAGGAGGAGGAAGAGGAGGCGGGGGGGCAGGAGGGCGAGGGGGAGGGGGCTGCGCGCGCGGGGCCGGCTGCACCTCTGCCGTCATCGGCGGCCACTGCTCCCGAGCGAGCCCTGGCGCACCCTCCCCCGCCGGCCGGCCCGTCCTCCCGGAGGAGCTGCTGGATCCGCCGGCGGTTGGCGCAGAGCCCCCCTCTCTCTGCAGTTCTCTCCTCCCCCACCTCTCTCTCCTCCCTCTTTCCCTCTCGCCCTCCCACAAGGGAAGGAGCCGAGCGGAGGCTGAGGGCAGTCTCTTTGCAGCAAGGGCGGAGGCCGCGAGGAAGCGCCCCCCCTACACACACACACACACACACACACACACACCGATTTTTTAGGGGGGGGAAGCACCCCCTCCAGGGCCTGCGGCGGTGAGACCCCGCGGGGAGCAGCGCTTGGTCCCCGCCACCCGCAGCGCTCGGCTCTCGCACTCCTGCAGAGGCCGCACTCACTGCATCTTCTCTCGGCCCGCGTCTCCCGGGCGGGCGTTAGACCCTCCAAGAGTTCCCTCCCCTCTCTGCCCCCCTCCGGCCCCCGCGTTGGTGGGCGCTTAAAGGGCCCCCACCCCCACCGCCCAGCGGCGGCCGAGAGAACCCGCCCCGCCTCCACCAACCTGGCGAGCAAGTGCTAATGCCTCCTCAGCCAGCGGTTCAGCCCCGCTGCGGACAGGCCCCCGCCTTCCCTGCCCGGGCCGCCCGGCGGGAAACGCACCCCGGGTCCTCGGCCTTCCCCGACGAGCACAGACCCGTAGCAAATCGCAACTGCAGCGGCGGCAGGGGCCGCCAGGTCGTGGCCATGGCGGGCACAGCCGGCTCGGGTTCCCGCGGCCAGCAGGCGTAGGGTCCCGCGAGGGACCGCCTCCCGACTCAGCCCGCCCCGGGAAGGACTGCGCGGCGCCCGGGACTTCGGACTCGCCCAGCCGCGCGCGAGCAGGCAGGCAGCCGCCGGAGCCGAGCGCGGGCTGAAAACGAAAGCTCAGGGCGGGTCGCTGCCGCTTTGTCTCCGGCGCCAGCGGGGCCAGGCCGGAGCGAGTAAGCACAGCTGGCCCCGCGGGGACCAAAACCGCACAGACTCCCGGAGCAAGCAGCCTGGCTCATTCACTCACTCATACACTCGGGCACTCATGCACACACAGGCGTGCAGTGATGCACATGCAAACCTGGTAACTTGCTAGATTCAGGCGTGCAAACTCACACCCATGCGTGAGTTTCCACTCGCGCACACGGCGCTCAGATAAGTGTAATACGGTCCCACTAATGCGCTCACTCACGCATACACAATAGGCCCATAGGAGCTTAAATGTGCACTGACTCTCACGTGTACATTAGCCACGCTGGGATCTGAACCCACACGTAGCCACTTAACCCACACACACACACGCGCGCACACTCACTGAAAACCCGTCTATTTGGCCCCGCAGCCCCGGTGTCCCCACTTTCCAAGAGCAGGTTCCGATTTCTCGTAGATGGTAAAGGCCCTGGCAGGAAGTTTATACGGCTCAATGTAAACATGTTCTGAGGGATTCTCTAATAATAATAATAGAGAATTCCGCGTGCGCGGGGGGAGTTGGCCTAATGCCCCTGTGGGTTCGGCCTGCCGCCGCCTCGGGGGCCTCTGACACTGCGCGCCAGGCCAGGTTCCGGAAAGCAGTCTGCGCCGGCGGCCCTCGCGCGCCTGCCTGCCCACAGCAGAGGGCTAGCAAGTACGCCTTCCCCCGCCAACCTCGTAGCACTGGGGTGTGGGCTAGGACGGGGTTGGGGGCCGGTGGCGCTGAGCGCGGTACAGCGCAGGAACCGGGCGCAACGCTGCACGCAGGGACCCAGGTGAGTGCTGTTTGCGCGCAGACTGCGGGGCACCAGGCTGGGCCTCCCGCCAGGGCCCCGAGTCGGATGGAGGGGGGCGAAGGGTATTTTCGCGGGTGATCGCGAGGAGCTAAGACGCCTTGCCCTGGCGCGAGCTGGGGTGAGAGGTGTGTGCCGGGCTCGGAGCGGGGCCCGCGGCAGTTTTCAAAGTCCACCGGACTCTCGCGTTTCCCTGGCTTCCTTGTCTCCTGCTGATCCTCCTCCTCGTTCGCTCGCCTGCAGCCTTGGCGGTAGACGTCTCGTCGCCATCGGGGCGCCTGGCATGTCCTTGCGAGGAAGCTGGGGGGCTCGCCGGCGTTGTCTGCCCAGCGATCGCAGCCTTCCCCAGCGGAGCCGCGCTCGCGGAAACGGGCGAGTCACCTTCCCTGCGCTGCGCTTCTGCCTGGCTCTCGCGGCCTGGGCTCCGCGCGCAGGCTGCCCAGCCGGCCTAGGGAAAGGGTGAGTGTGGGACGTGATTGCTTTGTGTGTCGTTGTTTCCTTGCTCAGGTAGACGCGCACTGGCAGACTCACCCTCACTTCACGCAGTTCAGCCAACATCCGCAGACCAGACACACTGAGCACCGCGCACCGGCTCCAATACGTGCCCCCGCCACCACGAAGCGGACAGCCCGGCACACAGCTCAGGCGCCCCCCACCCTCTCACAGACGCGCTAGCCTGCCTACCGCTGAGGACACACTTTCCGTTAAGTGCACACACTCTTGCATTGCGCGTTCACCCACGCACAGCCAGCTGCACATACACACATAATCTCATGCATAGCCGCGCCACGCGCGCGCGCGCTCCCACGCACACTCGCATTCTCACATTTTTTCCCCCCATCACTTTTTTTTTTCCTCCGTCAAACGGCAGCTGCAGGCAAGGAGGCCCCGGCAGCGCTGGGAGGGAAGCTCCCGCGAAGGGGTCGCTACCGCCAGCTGCTGAGAGCACATCTGGCTTTTAGAGGAGCTGCGAGCGGGGGAGGCTGTCTGCTCACCAGCCAGCCAGGGGAACAGCACTCCCCACGGCTCCCAGAAAGTGCGAGGAACGCCTCCCTTTTCCTCGCTCCTCCTCCACTGACTAGGAGCCTCCAAAGTGAAGGGCCTCTATAGAGAATGATGGTGGGGGGCCCTTTATCTAGTAGTCCCCTTCCTTCTGAGGCTCTCTCCAGTTGGGAGGGGCTGCAGATTTCGTCTTGGCTAACCCCCAGATCAGACTTCCTCTTCCTGCACATCCTTGTTTCTCACCAGCTCTTCTTGGGGGACCTGTTGTATTTTGGGGTGAGGGAGCTTCTGCCTTCCCAGGCAGGAAGTGTGGAGTCGGGCCCCACCTTGCCTCCATTTATCCCTCAGATTCTGACAGCAAACCAGGCTCTGCAGGGGAAGGACAGCAGTTACCATGCCCTTGGAGAGGGGGCCAAGGGGCCTTGGAGCCTCAGGAATGTGGCAGATGGAGGCTCTCTCCCAACCCCTGATCTCCACCCAGGCGGGAGATAAAGGTGGGAGTTTGAGAGGGAGAGGAGGGGGGATGAGCTCCCAGCTCTGTAATTTGGGGTGAACCCCTCTCAATTCTGGGAAGAACCGCAGGCATAGCGGGGAGAGCTTCTCGATATGCCCAGGGACTAAGCTCTTGGTTCTCAAGATGCCCCTGGGAGGCCCCCCCTCCCCCCGACCTTATGCTTTTTATGGTTGGGAAACTGAGGCCTGGTGAAGACCTGGCCTGAGTCAGCCAATGATGTCAAGCAAACCTGTCTTCATCTTTCCTCTCTACTCCCAAGGACAAACTATCATTGCGTGTTACCCTCCCAGATGCCTCCTTGCAGGCGGAGAATAGAAACGGTGGTGTTTAGAAATGCTCTGTGGCCCCGCATGCCCCTGGCTTCCCAGGCCCAAGGGCACAGAGAGACCTGTTGGAGAACCGATGGTGATAAAATAATAACAACTGCAAACACCAAGTTAATAGGACTTATGGATTGTTGACTGTGCCCAAGTACTGATCATCACCTTATTAACACCCCTTTGGATGTTCTTAACTTTTCTCTGGGCTGTGAATCCCTTTGACAAACTGCTGAAAACTATATCCTACCCACCCCCACCCACCCACCCCTCCGCACACACAGAAGGCGCATACCCACGACATTTGTAGAACGATTTTCAAGATTTCACCAAACACACTGAACTCACCATCCAGGGGTGGAAGCCCATCCATAAAAAAAAACGAGACCTCCCATCCATGAACCCAGGACCCTGTTTAAACACCCCAAAGATATTTGTTTAATCTTCACAGAAGCCTCTACCAGATCAATATTATCCCTTCCTTTACAGATGGAGCTCAGCAAGGTTACCGCATGTCCTAGGTCACCCTGCAGAGCAAGGATACCAACCCAGGTCTGACTGCAGGACCAGGGATTTAAGCCCCAACCACAGGATGAGAGAGACAGCAGTAGACAAGGCAGAGACCCTCTGCCTGCAGATTTGGAATCGTGGTCAGGATTTGAACCCAAACTCCACCATGTAGGGATGTTACATGAGCTGTTTGTGCCTTAGTTTCATCTCTTTTGGGGGAGCGGTTGTTGGTGGGCTTATTTTCCCCCAGCTTTATTGAGATATAATTGAAACATAACATTGTGTAAGTTTATAAGGTATATAAAGTGTTGATTTGATACATTGTATGTTGCAAAATGATTACCACACGCAGTTAACTGCCACCTCCATCCCTCCACATAGTTATCATTTGTGTGTGTGTGTGTGTGTGCACGCGCGCACGCGTGTGTGAGGTGAGAGCATTTAAGATCTACTCAAAAAAATTCAAGGATATGATACAGCATTATTAGCTATAATCCATCATGCTGTAACTTAGTTTCTTCATCTGAAAAATGGGGTGAATAATGGCATCTTTTTCTTAGGGCTGTTGGGAGCATTGGGCAAGACTGTGCAGAGAAAGACTTAGACTATCCAAACAGACAGAAACAAACAAAACCCCTGGGGCCCAGCTTGAGGGTCAGTTGGAGAAAATGCAGACTGGGATATGGCAGCTTTTTGCTCTTAGCTTAAAGATCTATAAAGACTCCCCCCCCAATCCCAAATCAAATCTGCACCCAAGCGCCAGCCCCAGGAATCCCAAAATGTGGGGAGGGGGGTGTAAAAACAGACATGCCTGCCATGTCTCCCACTCCCCAACCCCAAGGTATTTTTACTGGCTAATTGCTTAAGTGAAGCCGCCCGGGCCGAGAGCGCGCGGTAACCCGAGCAGGGAACTAGATCCAGCTCGGATTGTGCCCGGGCCCGCCTCGCGGGCGGGGGCAGAGGCGGCCGCCGACCACCCACCTCGAGGGCAGCCGCCCTGCCCGCTGCCTCCCCAGCTCTGCATTAGCACCGGGCCAGCGCCAGCGCCTTCCTTGCCCTGCTCCCTCGAACCCTTTTCAGACGATGTCCAAAGGCTATACAAGGTAGTGTGTGGGCTGGGCCCCAGACCTGAGGCCAGGGCTGGACAGTAAGGGAAGCCACCTGGCCTGGGGACATTGGTAAGGAGCCCTGAGGGGCTGGGATGGGACATTTGTGGGTCAAAATGCCACCTGGGGGCCGGGGACTGTGGGGAGACACTTCAGGGTCAGGAGGAGATACAGGGCATTCCCTCTTGCCGGATCATAGCATGAGCTGTGCACCAAAGAAGTGGGATATTTCTCTGCAAACTAGATGTGTGTGCACACACATGCATGTCAATTTGCAGAGGGGTGAGAACGGTGGAACTAGAAAGGCACCAAGCAGTGTCCGGCAGGCACGATAATATCAGGTGGGTGTACAGTATAAAGGTTGTGCACAGAATAGCCTGAGGTGTGCAAATGTGACTGACGTGTTTCCTATGCTGAACCTTACAGGATGTGGGTACAATGTGGTGGCTTCATGTGTAATTAACACTTTGAGATGTGAACAATATAACACATTATGCGTGCAGAATACTCGAATGTAGTGTGAGGTGTTCCATGCCCAGAACATTATAGAAAGTGTACAGTGTAGCAGGTTACGCACATGGAAGAGCCTAGGGGTGTGGACCACATAATGTAATCCAGATACAGAATACTGTAGCCTCTGAGGACCATCTAATATAGAATTACATAGACTGTTGGGGGTGGTGTATGACATAATGAGTTATATCGTACACGACATAATGGATTTAAATGAACATTTTAAAATACGTCCACTTCGATGTCTGTGGGCACGGAACTTGATGGGAAATGTATTGACAATGCAGTCTGCATCCTGGATGCAGCATGTTGCAACGAGAGGGGTCTACACTGGGACACTCTGCCCACCCCCAGCTTCAGGCAATGAGTTTACAGTACAGCATGGCTACGTGAATGTAAGGCTGTCAGGAGATTTGCATGCACTGGAATGTGCAATCGTAAAAATGCAAAGACCACACAGCTAATGATGATTGAGGCCTGACTGTGTGCTCTTCTGAAGCCCTTGAAGGTAATCACCGGCTCTGGAAACCCCAACCATAACCCTGTAAAGTAGGCTGTTTCAATCTCAGGTCCCCGGGAAAGCCAAGTGACTCTCCCACTTTATTTTTGTAGCATTGGAACAATGTTCATGCGTTTTGTTGTGCTGGGAAGGGTGGGCTGTTCTCAAAGTAGTATGAAGACATGGGGATGGGAGCACCTTCTCTGGGGGTCTTGAGAGGCTGTGAGCACCAGGCCCTGTAACCCTCTATCTGTAGGCAGCACAGAAAAGATGCAGAGACAAGAGCTATGAGTAGAAGGGGCCCTGAACCCTGGGGAGCCCCTATGCCTGGGTGTACCAGGGCCATTGAGAACGCTCCTGATCTGAGCTGCACACCCACATTGTGGAATGCTGTTTCCACTTGTGCCCGTTGCTTCCGAACTAAACTTTAAGCCAAAGCAGTCCCCTTGTTCCTTCTTGTTAATAACAAGCTGGATTCTGGGGCCTCCTGAAACTTTTCATGGGGGGTACCCCTCCCCCAGGTGTGGAGGACAGAGAGGGAGCACCCCCTGACCGCACCTAGCTCTGCCACACCCCCTTGGCACAACCAAGGCTGGGAATTCCCCACCTGTTCAGACCACCAGGGCCACATTTGGGGGAGCAGCGGGGAAAGGGGTTATCCCTGCACCAGGCCTTGGCAGTTCATCTCCCTGTCAGCTGTACATTAGGGAGAGGTTCATATTTTGGTCAAGAAAAAAAAAAAGGCTCGTGCTTGCACTGCTGCAGCCCTGAGCTTGCCCCCTCACTTGGCCCTTTTACCCAAAAGCACACATTTTCCATGACGTTCTTCAATGAAATATTTGACAACATTGCAGCCCAGGAATTTACAGCCCTCTTCCCCTGTGAGATTTTTTGGGCGTTTTCTGGCATTTGCAGTGCATGCTGCTGTAAGAAACAGAGACCGCTCAGGGGATGTGGAGCGTCCTGGCGCTCCCATTCCGGAGGCCTGGCCCGTCCACAGCTCTCCTTCCCACAGAGGCAGGCTCTGAAGCATCCGATCTTTTTATCCCCGCTGCCTGAACAGCTGTGCTCAAGAAGATGGCGAGAAGATGTTCCTTCCAGCATGGATGTGTGTGTGAGGATGGTGTGTGTGGCAGCAGATTTTGTTCCTGAGCAAAGGATCCACACAGAAGGAGAGAGGGTGACGCCCAAAAGGTGTAGCAGAGAGAAAGGGACTCTTGCTCAAAGCGTCCTCAGAGGGTGGGGCTCCCAGTGCAAACAAGTCCTTCTGAAATGGAGGTAGGCAGTGGAGAGAGAGAAGATGAAAATGAATTCTGAGTTTCAAAAAAAAAACAACATAAAAAGGAAAATATAGATTAAATTTCAGGGGCCAGGTATTTTCTATTTCTCAGAGTTGAGGGAGAGATAAAATAAGACAGACACACACACAACCTGCAGGGCAGAGGGATTAGAACAGAGTGAGCGCGGGGAAATGCGGGCCAGGCAGCGCAGGGAGGTGAAGGGGTGGAGGGGATGTGCTCAGATTTGTTTCTTAATCAAAAGCAGCAATTTGCTCCCAGAAACCTGCCAGTGTGTTGGTTTCCCTTCAGAGCTCGTAATGCTCTCTGTATATTCCCTGTTAAGAGGGAAATAGAGTTTTAAAAATGAAAAAATGTATTGTTTTTAGGGATAAAACAAAATTTGTTCATCCCTGCTTGGCTCAGGAAGGGAGGAAGGGAGGAAGGGGCTTTACCTGCCTGAGGGTGGGACCCACTGCCCATGGTTTGTGGAGAAAATGGAAATGACAGCCTCTCCCATGCCTTCCCCAAAGTCTGGTTTGGGTCCTTTTGTCCCAGCCGGGTTGCCCCAAGGACCCCTGGAAGGATCTGCACTTGGGCGTGCGTGGACTTGCACCGCTTTGCTGGGCCTGTTTCTGCACAATTTATTGGAGAGCCAGCTCTTGTGTGTATGTGACATGGGTGAAGGTGACACAGCACCTGGAAAGTCAGAGCTGGGTAGAGAGCTAGAGCAGAGAAACCCGGAGAGAGAACCAATGTGCAGTCATCAGAACCCAGAGACAACAGCAAGGTGCGGAGAGAGACACACACAGAGATGGTAACAGGGTCAGAAGTTTGCACAGCGAGGTGAGAGAGCCAGAAACAGAAGGAGAGCAAAGCCGAGGGAGGGAGGGAGGGAGGGAGGAAGGGAGAGGGAGAGAGAGAGAGAGAGAGAGAGAGAGAGAGAGAGAGAGAAACTCACGGGGATGGACAGAGTCCCTTGGTCTGCTTCGGGAGCAGGCGGCACCCAGGAAGGTATCGACAGTTGATGGGGTCAGGCAGGAGGGAGCCCCATACCTGAGTGAGAAGTGTGTACAAGAGGGAGAGAGAGACAGAGAGGGACTGAGAGGGAGAGACAGAGGGAGGCAGAGAGGGAGAGAAAGAGAAAGAGAAAGAGACAAAGAGAGGGAGGGAGACACACTTCTCGCTAGGCTCCGGGCACTGGGGCAGGCAGTAGCTGCTCTGACACTGAAGTTTCTTTGGGTCCAGTTCTCCTGTGAGCAGGTCCCAGAGCTGTTCCCTTTAGCCCTGGTGCTGTGGGGCTTTCCCAAGAGAGTTGGGAAGGGTCTTCCTGACAGCCCTTTGCAGTGTTGAGAGTAAAGCCCTAGGAGGCCACGTGCAGGGTGGGCTGAGGAGACCCTTGGCAAGTGATTTAGTCTCCTTGTGCTTCAGTTTTCTCTTCTTAAAATGAGGATAAGTTCAGCAGCATCCACAAAGCTGTCCTGAGGACCAGAGGAGAAACCCTGGAAGTACCCTGTGCAGGGTCTGGTTGGGTCGGGCGATGAGGTGGGAAGGGGCACCAATTAATGTGAACCATGGCAGAATTGTTACACAACATACAAACAAACCCAAGAGCAGTTAGTAGTCTGGGACCTGATTGATTGAGACTTGGCTCCACTGCTGAGTGACCTGGGGCCGGTGGCCTCACCTCTCTGTGCTTTGGTCTCCTTATCTGCCGAACAAGAACAGTGATACAAGTATCTCCTTCTGTACCCAGAGGATTAGATAAATGAGTACTTGTTGGCCTGGTTGTTACAATTGGGTGTGCTTCCTCACTGGTGTTTGGGGTACTGGGGGATGAAATTCCTCATTCCCTGCTCCCTGCAGTCCCCGAAAGCCTGTGGGGGCCTGGCCTG